AGGAATTCTAATATAGTTGCATCACATAGACTGATGAAACACTGTAAAATAATAATACATTTTCTGGTACAGAAAAAGTGCAAAGARTGTTTTTAACATCCAGAAAAACTAGTCGTCTTTGGACCCTGATACATCTCTATTCTGTTTCATTAATTTCCTAACATTTTCATTTAATGGATTTGTAATTATTAGATAACTGTAGCATCTGTAGTATTAAACACAGTTTACTGTGCTTTAATTTGTGCCATTAACCTGTGGTACAAGCTTGCAGAAGTCCTTTCCTCTTAACRAACAAGAAAACAATTTTCTTTTGTTTTTTGACCCGCCGCACTCGATGTAAATTGGACATTACAGCATTGATATCCCTCAACTGCCCTTCTCTTACTGAAAGAACCTGTTCCCCAACAAAAGAAATTCAGGCTGCCTGTTAAAGCAGATTTCAACCTCAATAGGATGAAACTAGGAGGGATTAAYGAATCTTAATGAGACTTAACCCTTTATGAGAATTAAAGAGAAGCAAGATTTTTGAGTAGGATTTGGTCAGTATTTTCCCATAACTACAGYTGAGAAATGGCTGAGATAGGAGAGAGAAGGAAGAGGCAGGGAGAGGGGTGGATTCACTCCTCTAAAGGAAAACTGCCACCCAGAAAACACATGGTAAAATCCTGTATTTTGGTGAGCATGGTCTCTCGTATATCTTGAGAGGAGGTGGAAACCTCAAGGAAAGATTAACATGTAATTATGCAATTCATGTTATTGTTGGTAATGGTAGAAGTATRAAAACATCAAATGGAATTTTGTGTTTATTTTATCACAGGTGGCAATATTTGACATGCTGAGAGCCCCAATATTTTACATTGTGAAACCCACAGTATTTCACATGAGCCTTCCCATGATGATGGTGTCCACAGGAGTGAAGCTGCAGTCCTCCCCACAGCTTGTGTGCAGTTCAGATCCTACTTCCACTCTCTCCAAATTTGTATCTGCTGGCACCTCACTGGCTTTGTGCAAAGCAGATAAAATTCAGGGGGAGGGAAGGAGGAAGACAAAACTGGTGCAGCTGTTCTTATTTTTTGGGTGGTAGATTTTTTAACAAGAAAATAACTGTGCATACCTTCTAGAGCCTCTATTGTCMGCCAGGGAKRGGCCTTTGAGCTGTCATGGTTTCTCTCCAGCCAAAAAATGTGCTTTGAAATGAGATACCAAGAGGTGAAATACTCCATGTACAGACAGGTGTCAGGTGAGCTTTGGTCGTGAGCTGCCATTGGGTCTGAAGAATTTCCCCATGAATGGCCATCCTATAAAAGTTGTTCCRTCCTGGAAACAGGGTACAAATGATGGTAGTTCTTTGCCTACTTCATGTAGTGTGGAACAAGAAATAGGAAAATTAGAAAATGCACTAAAGGGAGAAAGCTTCAGAAACCCCAYATATCACCTATTTTGAAATCAGACAGAGATAATGGAAGTCAGCTTCAGAAAAAGAGAAAGTTTCTAGAGAAAAGACACTGTGATCCAGTCATTGTTTAAAATACACCTTTTCTCTCCTGTATGTAGCACATGAGAAAAGGGATTCTGAAAATGAGAAGCCAAAGGAATTTAGAATTAAATAAGMTCACTCTGAATTAAGGAATGAACTTCCATTATTCAATAAAAATTTGAAAAGACCAAGAAGCTTATCAGACTAAATTAAATGAGGAGCTCACCACATTGTAGATGACTCATTGTAATTCAAGAAATTTATAACAGTGTAGAAGAAAACAGATGGTGCAAAGAATCCTCAGTACAAAACACAGATCAGTGCTSAGTTCACAAGCCAGAAACCACCCTTCAGCCTAGGACCAATGGTAAGAAAACGCTGCCATTAAAGTGATTAAAAGCCATGCTGCTCTTCTAAGCATTTCTTTTTTTTCAAATGGTTTCATTGGGTAACCAAATTAGAGCTCTCCTGCAGCTACTGGATTTGAAACAACTAATTAAAAGAACTTCCCATTGATTCATCACAGGGACATTAGAGCAGTCTTTAGGATTGGGAAAATAGGATTTACCTATCTTAAAATTTTCTGGTTAAAAAGAATTTTAACAATAAATGGATTGGATCTCTAAGGTCTAATTGACTTYTGCTCTAGTGAGCAACACTTATAAGGAGCTGAAATTTCTCTACAGAAATTAGTGCTTTTTAGCAGCACTCCACAACAAAAGAAATAGAAACTCAGCTAGCTGTGCTTTTAATTACTTGGTTTTATTTGTCTGTTTCTTCCTACAATAAATTTCTGACTGGAATGCTGTGCGGCAAAAGCAGGATCGTCCTTCTACATATAACAAGTAGTGGTGCTTCTATGACTTGCTGTTAAAAAGTACACTTWTTTTTTTTTTTTTACCTTACACAAACACAAATACCCTTCTCATATTCACAGCTTTATGTGTACACCTCTGCATTTTGATTTGGAGGATTCAGTGTTGGCCCAATGCTACAGGTGTGATGTGAGCCTTGCTCTCTGGGCTTTTTGGTTTCAAGTGCAGGTCAAGCACAGCTGTTTTAGGAGAGATCTAAAATAATTTTATTCCATTAATTTCCTACTGGGTTGTTCCCCAGGAAGACAACTGGGATTATTTCATATATTGAAGTCTTGAGAGGATCTTCCAATGCACCACGACTGGCTTTTGAAATGCGCTTCCTGAAATGGAAGAATTAGTGCATTGAGGTCATGAAAACGTAAAAAAAAAAATTGCTGTAAAAATGTGCAAGTCAGAACACAAAGAAAAATCCCTTTCATGCAGTACATATGAAAAGCTTRTAAACAGCAGGCCATAATTAAAAGRCATATCAKTGACCTATATTTTGTAAGCCTAAAAGAGCCAAGAATATCAATTTATCTACAGCTTAACCCGGTGTTTTCTGTCATCAATCTTAATAATTTTGCCAGGATTGTGTTTTCTGACCAGTGAACTCCCTCTCCACAGTGGGATGGAGCTGCAGTGTGCTGGGAAGGTGGCCCAGCTGATGTCCATCCCCTCTAGCAGGCACAAAGGGGTACCAGATGGATCTGGAAGGTTGCTACAGCTCCCTCAGACCCACCTGTAAATCACAGCTCAAYGTCAGTGAATGACTCAAAATAACAAATAGTAAAACAATTTAAGTGAGCAGTGCCCCCCTAGGCCCTTGATCAGTGTTCATCAATTCCAAATCCATGTTTGCTACCTCCTGTTTTCCTTCAAACAAACCYAAATTTGTGTCTTGCTTGGAGAAGCTGATTTTACCCCAGAGAAATATTATGAGAGCTCAAGTTCACCCTCAGTTTCAAGAGTAAAAATTTCATTTTAGCTGAGGGAGTAGTTTTACCTACCCAGGGATAATGTTTCRGTTCAAGTCCTATGAATCCTTTTTTATTTATTAGTTTGTGTTTTATTCAGTTCAATTATTTACATTATGTTGTATAAGGATTTACTGAAAACCAGGTTAATTCTTTATTCTGCATGGCAGGRGATCCTTTTTTTTTTTTTTTAAACCCTTGCATCAGACCTGTGGTTAAAATGGCATAGGTGTAGAAGTTTCCTGTGTAAGCTCTTACACTTTGATAGGTTTTTTCCCTGTGTGTTATGTGTTGATTTAGGGGTTTTTTTCACATCAGAAAGGACCRAATTATTATGCCACAGAATAGTTACCCAAGGGGAAGATTGACAGGGGATGGAAGTTAATTTTCTCTCTCAGATAAATGCATTCTCACAGAGACCACTGTGCACATCTCTGTGTAGAGTTTCTCCTTTTTTCAAAGGCAAACGATCAGGTTTGTATTCACCAGTGTTTGTTTACATTCTAGAATTTATTTATTGTTTTCATTTCTTAAACACCCTAYAATATTTACAGAAAAACTAAGGCATGAAATTTTGTGACTAGAAGCATATTCTCTTTTCATTTTCCTAGGGAGACTCTTTCATTCAAAAGATAAAACCAGAAGTCACAAAAATACGTTATTTTTAGGAGACAGCTCCATGGAAACTTAGAAGTTAAATAAAATTCAGAGTAGAGGAATGGGGGAGGGTGCATAATAAACTGATAKTTTTTAGTGGAAAGACAAATAGTGAAATCTGTGAACCACTTCTGGTRGCTGGATTGTTGATCTTTCTCAGCTGTGTTCAARACTGTTGAACAATATGACTGGGTCYGCTGTAATAGYTGGGAAARCTGCACATCAATTCTATTAAAACAACATTAGTGTCTGGAGAATATTTTTACATGCTTGACCAGGTTAATAAAATAAAGAAATATTGTTTTCTAGAATGTAATTTTTGCAGCATTTGAAACCGCGCACCTTCTTTTCCAAAAGGGCAAAAAACTACAGTGAGATGATTTGGTTCTTGGGTGCACCTGTGCATGTTGGGCCCCTYCCAGAAGCTTCTGGAAGCAGTTCCCACTTGCTGTGCTCTGCAGACCCGTGGTGTCTGTGCGGGCACCTTGGTTTGGGGRCACCTTTGCCCCCAGTTTGCCCATAACCCAAACCCTGCCAGTGGCCACCTGAGGGAGCTGGCTCTTGGTGCACACAGACACCTCCCCAAGGGCTGAAGTGCCCTTGCCAGAAAAAGGATTCATTGTGTTTGTTCTAAGCTATGTGGCTTTATTTTACCCCAAAGAAAAAAGTGAACGTACATCCTAAACAGCCAAATTAAGACATTTAATGAAGATTAACCTGAATGCTGAATTTACTGCCTCTGAAATGTGGTTCTGCTCTGGACATGCTGTCCTCAGAGCCAGCAGTGTGGCCTTTCTTGCTGTGTTTTTGCATCCTGCCATTTTTCAGAAGCTGCTCTTAGCAGAGGAGTTACGGGCATGTACTTGAGACATTAATTCCAGGTTATATGGTTTCCCTGAGAATTGCCATCTGTCATGCTTTTTTGTCTGGAGGTCACTCCAAGTTGCCTCGGGTTGTTATCCTCAGACAGGAGGTTGGAAGGATAAACCGTGTGYTTCGTCTTTAACCCTTAGTTATCCTTTTCCCTTTCAGCACCCACCTTGATAGGTATGGTAAGGAAGGACTGGGCTTCCCAAAACAGCATTGCCCTCTCCTGGCAAGAGCCGGACTTTCCCCCTGGAGCAATTCTGGACTACGAGATCAAGTACTATGAGAAAGTAGGTCTCACTTACAACATCACCCCCACTCAGATCCTAAAGAGCAATGTTTTTCATATTTTTAATAGTATTTCTAAAAAAAATTTCACTTGATCCCACATCCAATGCTGTGTATRCTAAAGTAGACGTTTTATTTTGTGCTGATTTTCTGTTGTTTTGCTTGTTGTTAATGACTATATTGTTTCACATCAGAATCAAGTAGAGCAGCAAGCAGATCATACATCTACTTGTCTCATAAGTAACTACATTTACAAACAYGGATAAATGGGACACATGCTTGAACATACTTTGATTTATGGACTGCAAACTTCCACATTAGAGTGACACTGAAGCAACAGAATTAAGGTGAATGGGAATGTGATTCCATTTTGAGGCAAAAAAAATATTTTAAGTAAAGCAATAATGTGCGCTTAAAGGATAGAGTGTACCAGCCTTGTTTAGAGGATCAGAAAATGTTACAAGAGAGAGAAACTGTCAAATTCCYGGTGCTCTGTCAAAATTAGAGGCAATTTCACACAGGAGAGAGCTACAACGTGCATTACAAGTAAAGGTACAAGGTGCACACACAACATGCCTTGGGAAAGCATAATTTGCAGCCTGCTTCTCCATAAGCACAAAACATATTTGATCAATTCCACTTGCTACAGAGCCTTGTGCCAGTAAAAAAATTCTTGCTGACTGATCCTTGCAATCTGGAAGACACAGACAGGTAATTTTTGGCATCAATACCTTAAACAGTTCCCTGCTGAGTTAGTTCTTGCTGTTTCTCTGCCCCATCTGAAGTCACAATGGAACTGATGTGCATGTAAGGAGACCAGAAAGAACAGAAATACAGGCCAAGCCGTACAAGAAAGTTTTAGGGATGTTAGGCTCAGTAAATATTTGAGAATATTATTCCTTGACTGCACTTCTATGCTGAGATTATGCAGCTTTAATGATGCAGAAGAAAAGATAAACTGAGGGAAAAATAAATCTAAACAATTTATATAGGACAGCTGGGGAGAAAAGAGAGATTGCTTAAAATATTTGGTAGCCAAAGCAAGGAAACTCTATTTTCCTATACTGATGAAAATTCTTTAAGTTCTGCTTATCACAGTAAACCACATTATGACATGAGCTTCCTTTGTCTTCTTTGTTGATAATAAAGAGGGGAATTAGACAAGACAAATTGTGAGACTTTACTCAGTTGCATAGAAACAGTTCCAAAGATCTGTTCATATGGATGCTAAATTATAAATCCTTTATATATATTTACATATATAAATCCTTTATCAATGGATTATGTGCCAATACTAGTTAATCCTGAGTGACAAGGCAAATAATTTTATTTAGAGGTCTACTTATTACTTAGCCTTGACCATTGTGAAGCAAGACTACATGCACAGGCTTTATGGCCCTTTGCTAGATACAGCTTAAAACACTCCTATCTGTTTAAAAAAAAAAAAAAAAAAGAACCATTTTCTGTTTCCACCTTTTAAAATATAAGGATATCTTCCATCTATAAATTCTTTCCTCTGAGGTCTGATGCACTGCTGACATCTTCCAGTGCTGTGGCACGGGTGTATGTGCAAGAACTCTCTTGGAGACCAGTTTCTAAATCAGAGATACAGAATATATAGAATAATCCAGTACTGTGAGTCAGTCTGCTTTTTTACAGCATTAAATTAGAAAATTTTATTTTACACCAGTTTAATAATATTTAAATAATGCTGTAAYAATATTTAAACCAAGAAGTGCACACTATAACACACCATAAATTAGAACATGTTGTGGCCAAATGCGAATAAAATTTCTTTATTGAAAAAACAAAAAGGGATGGTTCCTACCTCAAAGCCAGAAAATATTAATGTGCAAAATTAGTTTGATTATTAACAGTTTCAATTCATTTTTTTCTTCTTTACATTGGAGCTCTGTATGTTGAATAGCATAGTTTGTGCTATGGCAGGGATAGATGTAATCTCTCAGCCTTCCCAGAGCTCTGAAACAGGGGAATATCAGCATTCCTGTTCTCAGCAGAAGTCACAAAATAGGGATGTTGTTGCATGCCCACAGGAAATATGATAAGAGTGAAAAAATTGTCTGCTGTTTTAATATGAATTTATCACAAAGACATCCCTCCAACCTGAGTGCAAAAAATGCAGCTAAAGTTGAAGAACATGTTAAATATTAAAAGGTTAGAAATTTTATTAATATCTTAGGGAGTCAAGAAATAGGCAGAAAACAGTAGTCTTACATGCTAATAAACACACTAGGTAGAAAAATGGAACCTCTTTTGCAGTCCTGTCTTTGACCCTTTCTACCTGTCATTTGCATTTAATAAAGAAAGGGGGTTTTGTTCTGATAAACAAATTAGAAATTGAATGTTTCATCCAATACAACCACTCAATCCCTCAAATTCGATTGGTTTTATCACTTTCTTGCCTCTGTGAAGCTCTGAAGAATTAGTCAGTATTCTTAAGTCCTACAAGTATTTACTGGTACTTCTTTCAGGGTTCCTTGTTGACATTTGAAAAATTGCCAATACATCATTGTGGGGAGTGCATTAAGGGAGCAGCCAGCTTTTAATTATAACCAGTAGGAATTCTTTGGGCTCWCAAACGGAAGTTTCATCTTGTCACRGGCTCCCAAAGTTTCCTGGAACATATGTCAACTTCAAAAATCAAATGGCTGTCCAAGAAACTGTAGACACTCGACAAAATGGGGCAGTTTCCAACATAAGACAAATTAATGATGATGATGCTCATGGAACATAAAGATGAAYCTTGCCATGCATTTCCAGAACAAGCAGAAGGGAAGAAGGCCAGACTGTGTTAATAATGCAAGAAACTTACATTTATACTCTTGTACAAATTACACACAGAGAACCATCAAAAGATCAAGCCCTCTCTGTGAAAAATATTCTTCTGGGAAAGACTACCAAATTATGAAGAAATAGATTTATACAAGGGTCTCAATATGTTAGAAGTGTGGAAACATACATTAATTTCAAAATATAATAAAGCAGCTCAGTAATTTTTCTGCTTTAAAGGACCTTTTCCCATATGACCTTCATTTCTTCAGTGAATTTCTGTAAAACACTCAGAACTTCAGGAAATACTGTCTTTAAAAATTACTCTCTTGTGACAATAAGAAAAATTTCATTGTGCACCAATTCGATATGGATTGWGAGATTTGTAGTTTCTTCTTTAGGAGTGTGCTGGAACATTTTTATGTTCCAGTCTGACAAGACATCACTTCATTCTGCAACCTTTCAGCCGAAACTGCAGCGAACAAAAGCTGACCTAGGGCATCATTATAGAGCTGATTTGGCCTGTGAGAACAATTCCTAGACATTCATTCCAAGATGCTGAGCTCTTTCACAGTAAACAWGGCTTGAACAATTGTGTGATATAACCAGAGAAAATCATGGTCCTGAAATTACAGTCTTTTTGGAAACCTGGTAAATGAAATACTTTATTTCAGGTACATAATAAACCAKTCTGAGAATGATACAGTTGGCAACATTTGTCACCTTGGGCAATAAATGAGTCTCTACAGCAACATACAGATGATCTGCTAAATGTTTGCCCTTTGAGAACTAAGATGTGCTCATAAAAGCATTTCTTCATAGACCTTCTTTGGGGTCTTCAAATTCTAAACACTGCAAATTATCTCTGTTGATACAGGATATCTGCCCTATTCTGCACTCTCTTGTCTGCCCGTTATATTTTATGATGCCTTGATATCATCCACAAACACTATTTCTAAAAGAAAAAATCTCTCATGGGAGGTATTGTCTTTCCTTTTCAAAATCCAACTCCATACATCAATACAATCTCAGTGCCATTGCTAATTGCAATTAATTTTTGTTTTATACTTTAACGTTTTACTCAGACACTGACCAAAGCTTGTACTATTCGCAAGATTCCAGGGCATCATAATCTCTTTACCTCTCATGAAAAGGGTTGCATGTTTGAGTCAGAAGAAGGAGCAATTCCCTCATGGGAAAGGGAGCACAGCACACAGTGGATATAAAACATAGAATCTGCACTCTGGGTTGTGTAGTGGAACTGGAAAATACTTATTCACCCCGTTTCCATCCAAACCCATAAAGTTAATCATCAAAAAACKAGTGCTCCCTGAGCGCTGTATTAAGCACACCAAACTGTGCTCCCATCAGGATCTGTATTAAGTTTGTTCTCCCACATGGCCCGAGCACAGTRGCTGGATTACATTGCCTGTTACACACAAAATAACAAAATTAGCTAAGGAGGCCTGTCCATAGAGAAGAGATTTTAATGGAATGTACCCAAACAGTGACCCAAGACATCACAATGAAATCCCTAAATAGAGAAACTGGAGAATATCTTTTGAATCAGGATTTGGAGAAGGTGGGGGCCAGCTGATATTTCTTTGCATTCTTGTCTTTTGATGAAATTCAAAGCCAAATCCCTTCGACAAAATACTTCATTGTGTTGGGAGAGTCACAATTTGCAGCTCACAGGCAGTTTTACATTAAAAAATTAACCCACYTGCATAGGACAGTAAGTGGACAGGATATGTAGGATGTCAGATATTACTTTTCCTTCATTCCAGTATTATTTAGAGTTGAATTAATAAATAGAAGTGAGAAAATAACTGAGCAGTAGAGGGAAAGGGGAAATTAAGTTTTCCAATGAGATTTGAAAAAGAGATGAGGAGCTGATGAGGCAGAGAGATAGAGGAAAGCACCAGATTTAAAGAATTAGAAAGCAGCATGACCTTGTTAATTTTTCTATCATCTACAGCTGCCTTTACTTAAATTATACTAGAACTGATGCTCTGTCTTAAAATCTAATATTAAAACAAAGACTGCTATTTCCTTGAATAATCACTACTATGAATTAAAATGAGCCATCCTGAATTTGAGTGACAGACCTTGAGGTAAATTGTATGATAGGAATAATGAGAAGTTTTAAGGCTATCAGTGCATAGTGTTTTGAATGACAGAATGATTTCTACAAGAACTAATATGGAAAATT